CTCTCAACAGCCTCTGCTGTCACATAGGGCCCTCTTCTACCCACAGTCAAGGGTATGGCACAGGTCAGACAACGCCTTGGACACTGCTGCTCCCTCTGGGATGTCACCCCGCCATTACCAGCCTGGACTCCAGGGCAGACTGTTCCTCCTTCTGCCACCTGAACTACCCCTGCTGTGCTGGCTGCTGGGTTCAGAGTATTCACTGCCTGCCTGGAGCACAGCCTTGGGGTCTCTTCATCCACCATCATTCTCCCCTCTGCTGAGCATCTTCTCCAGGCCAGGCTGGCCTGATACAATGGGGCAGATGACAATGACAAGGGTCTATATCCTCTGAGAACCTATAGATGATTACCAAGAAATCCTTGGTATTGCAGATGTGACACGGAGGCCTTTGGATGAGAAGTGACCTGGCAGGAAGGAGCCCCACCTAGCAGTGGCTGAGCCCAGCCTGTCCTGCACCATGGCCAGCACTCCTGCCCCTCCAGGATGACATCAGAGGCTCTGTGACAAGTCTGAAGGTCACTTCCATCTCCCCCTTGTGTGGGCTTGTCCTTGTGGGAGGAAGTAACTCCCTGGCTCTCAGGGACTGTGTGACCTTCATGGGGCTCAAGAAGTTCCCTCAATGTCAGACTGTGTGTGTATTTCAGGACAGTCCAAGCTCTCCTGAGATTCTCTAACATGCCCACAGTCCAGAGATGTTTAAAACACTGCTTCAGCCATGAGCACATACTGGGGAAAGGAAGAATGGGTCACCTGTCTGGAAAAAATGAAAGCGCGATGTACACTCCTGTGACACTTACTATAGGTGACATTCTAAACATCTGAGGTTGTCAATTTCTGGCCCCTCATGACAATGTTGAAGTGTAGGGACAATTGTCACCCACAGTTTACAGACGAGGAATCCAAGGCAGCATAAGTAATTTAACCAGCAGAGAGCAGGACTCAGTCTGGCTCCTAGTTCCCCACCAGGCTGGGACCCAGAGGGAAAAGAAATGTCCCATGAGCCTGGGGGGACTCAGAACACTCAAGGCTGCCACCCAGCCTTCCTGACAGCCTGTCCCAATGTGGTCACTGCCCTTACTTTGACAGATGAGAAACTGAGGTACAGAAAGGTGGGTGACTTGTCCAAAGTCATACAGCTCAGAGGTGTTAGAGCCTGTGTTCCAAGGCCTGACCTCTGCCCAGGGCATCATAGTTGCCAGGAACCAGAGGGCAATAGCTGTGTGCTCATAGCAGGGACAAGTTGCTTGTCACTTGGGCTGCATCCAGGCCCAGGCTGACCCTGGAGCCTGTTGCATCAGCCCCTTACTCATTGTAGGAGCTGAAGGGAGGAAGTAAAACCCGGATTGTGGATTATGAGAAAAGGAGCATTTTATTTTCACATTCCTGAGACCAAAAACCCAGTGACTATGAGCTGTGAATATGGGTGGGTCTCACTCTGTGCGATGCATCCTGTCCTGCCCTTTGGATGCTACATGGAGTTACAGTCCCCCGTGGGATGAGAGGTTTGGCTCAGGAGAGAAGCCACAGGTGCTAGGAGGAATAGAGGCTCCTATCTCAAAGCCAGCATCAAGTTCTGACTCTAGCATCTGGGCTGACAGCTTTCTGGGTTTTGATGTCCTCATATGTCAAATGGGGTAAGAAAATCAGTACTAGAGTGACAGAGATGAGAGACGGAAGACTTCAGTGAGACCACAGCTGTCACTGCCTGACACATCAGGTCTCCCAGGTCCTGGTGTTGATGTTCCATGGACCCCAGATGCTGGTATGGTTCTGTTCCTGACCTGCTCTGCTATTCCAGAACCCTCCCTAGTTCAGGGTCCCCAGTCCTGTCCTGGTACTTGAGTGTGCATGACACTTTAGTTAAGACCCAAGCCCCCAGAAACACTTGAAAGTCTGCCAGAGGAAACCTGAATAGTCAAGGTTATCTGATTCACAACATTGAAGACCACAACACCCCCTGCCTTGGCTGTTCCTCAAATAGCTTGAGCAACGACTGTCCCTAGAAAATCCTGGGGACAGACACTTACTGTTTCCTGGAAAGAGAGCAGATTTTAGGTACAGTTAGAAAGAAATGTGCCTGGCCTAAGGAGAGGGCTGTTCCCAGTCACACCACCTTGCCCCAGGATGCACTTTCCTTCAGGTCCAGCATGTGCCATCTCAGGGGTCCATCCTCAGAAATTATGTAGTCCAGGGCTGCAAACTGGAAGCCCTATGCAGGATACAGTCCACAGTTGGTCACCTCTGGCCAATACCACATGCCCACCCTGGCAGTTTCTTCACCTGGTTCCTGGGGACACAGGAGTTTGCTGCCCTCGCTGTGGTCCAGTCCCTCACTGTGAAGCCCACACAAGGGGCTAGGTGGGTTTCACAGAGCAAATGAGGGGCTGGTGGAGGCTAGACCCTCCAGGGGTTTCCCCTGGATAAACCTCCATGTCCTCAGCAAACACAGAGAGGTAAGCCCTCTTGGGGTCCTCTCAGGAGGGTAGAAGGGTATTCTTAATAGGAGGGAGCCAACTTCGGGGAGTTTTCTCTGAGACTCTGTGCCATACTCTTGGCGCATTAATCATTAGCTGGCCAGAAGAAGTAGGTGGTGCTCAGAGGGCCTTGTTTGCCAGTCCTCCTGGGCTCGATGAGTTACTCCTGCAGCTCCGACAGCCACCTGAGGCCACTGCAAAACTGACTATGCCGTAAGTAACCCAGGGACCATAGAGACTATAGATGGAGGGTGATTCACAGTCCTGGTTTGCCCAAGACTGAGAGCTCTCCTGGGTCCCAGGAGTTTAGTGCTAAAGCCAGAAAAGTCCTGGGAAAAGTGAGACATTGGTCACCCTCCCTAGACATGAGAACAGCTAAGCTTAGAAGAAACTGTTCCCAATACCCTTGCCATAGTGCTGGGCAGCTGGCACCCAGACCTCAAAGGCTTCCCTCCCACAGCTAGCTCAAGGCAGCGTCAGACCAGGTCCCAGGTTTTCCAGATCCCAGGTCAGGTGTTATTGGCAGGCTCATGCCAGAGGGGAATTCTGGGCAATCTCACTTAAAGCCACAGAGAAGAATATGGTGCTGGGGGTGGGTGATCTAGGAAGCCATGTTGGAGAGGGATGCTGAGCAGGTGAGTGGAGTGGTCCCGGGTGTGTTTTAAAATAATTCCTCTGACTGCTAAGGTGAAACAGAGGAGAAAGATAAGGTCTGAGCTACTGCAGTGGTCAAGGTTAGCAAAGTACCACTTGTGGGTCAAAGATGGCCCACAAATCCTGAGCCAAGAATGCAAGACATAAAAGGTCAATGCAAAGCTTGTAACTATACCAGCCGGGTGCTGGTGGCTCACACTACCAATCTTAGTACTCAGGAGGCAAAGATCAGAAGGATCAAGGTTTGAAACCAGCCCAGGCAAATAGTTCGTGATAGTATATTTTGAAAAATACCCAACAAAAAACAGGGCTGGTGAAGTGGTTCAAGTGGGAGAGTGGCTGCCTAGCAAGTGTAAGGCCGTGAGTTCAAACCCCAGTACCACCAAGAAAAAAAAATGTTTATAATTAAATTTAAAATATAAGTTATGAATATAAAATAAAAATGTATGATGTATAAATGGTTGAAAATATCAATAATAGCAACACTTTGTGACACTGAAAATTATTTGAAATTCAGATGTCAGGGTCCATAAATAGAGTTTTGGTGGAACACAGCCCTACCCATTGCTGTACACCTTGTCCACAGCTGCTTGTCAGAGACAAGATGGCACCATCTGGCCCTTTGCAGGGAAGGTTTCTGAACCCTGTTCTGAGGGAAGAATGTGGATACCTGGACAAGGATCCCGGTGTGCAGGGGATGAGAGGAGCCCAAGGAAGAACCTCCAGGGGATGTGTTGACAGATGAAGGGGTGGGTGCAAGGATAGAGAGATGTTGGGGTGGCCGCTGGGGTTTTGGCTTGAGAACCAATAACAGTAGGGCCCGTAGTGGAGCAAGAGCAGATATGGTGGAGAAAACCAAACAGCCTATCTTGGGCAGGTCAAGTTTGTCATAAGAAGGGGATCAGTACTACCACTGCAACCTTGGGTGAGTCCCTCAACACTTTCCTCCTCCAAGAGAGGTGATAATAGAAGACCTGTTCTACAGGACTCTACCTGGGTGGGAGGGTCACAGGAAATAGCAGAAATGTGGACCAAAGGTTGTAGAGTACAGCACAGATGGCAGGAACAGATACTCCAACAACTTTGGTGATTTGTACCCTCTGTGTCCTGTCCCTGGGCTGATTCAATAAAGTCAATGGGAAAAGCAGTGTGGGAGAAACAGTGCCTGGTGGAAACTGGAGGCCTGAGTTCCAGTTTGGACTTCTGCAAGTTGGTAACTTGGTCAAGTCATTTTTGAGAATGGGATAGAGTCAAGCTCACAGAGATGGTGAATGAAATGAGATAAGGACATAGGAATGTGTTTTGCAAGACGAAAGCACTGCCACCAAATAGTGACATTGTCACCACGTTTGTGGAGAATGCTAGGCATTCCCTTGCCTTCCACCAGCAAGTGTTGAATGTGTTCTATTGGGGACACTGAGGCAGATTCACACTGGAGAGATGTCATCACATTTGGAGGCAAGCACATCCCATGTTTAGGCCCCGCTGGAGATCATACTTCACACATTGCATGTGCCAAGATGGCAGAGAGCAGCCCCTTCATGGTAGAGAATTTAGCTCTACAGTCAGCAACATTTACTCTAGATCAGTAGAAGAGGGCTGGGCAGCAATGACTGGTGTAAACCTGTTCCTTGTGGGTTTTCTCTGGAGTACTTCATCTGAAACAAAAAAACAACTTGAAGGTAAATTAGCACTCATGTTAAAAGTTTCTCCCTTTGTAAGCACAGGTGCTAGCCCCCAATTACCTGCCCAGCAGAACACCTCACCACCCCTGGGACTGTGTCTGCTGCCATCTGCTCAGCAGGGCTCAGTGTCTGCTGAGGAATGTCCTGGGCATCTCTTTCCCTCTGCAGATCTCAGAACCTGAGCATGCATTGTATCCACCATCTGCCACTTCTTCTGGCTGGACTCTTGGCCCTTTCTCATGGTCAGCTGCCCTCAGGTGACAATAAAGGTTATGGCAACAGTTCCCACCAGCATGGGCAGGAGTCAGGGGAGGATCCCAGCAGCCCTCAGGTTGCCCCCAGCAATACCAACTTTGCCTTCCGCTTCTACCACCTGCTCACATCTGAAAACCCCAGGAAGAACATCTTCTTCTCCCCACTAAGCATCTCGACTGCCTATGCCATGTTGTCACTGGGGGCTGGCGGGCACAGCCAGACCCAGATCTCAATGGCCTAGGCTTCAACCTCACCGAGCTGTCCATACTTGACATCCACCGGGGCTTCCAGCATCTGTTGCGTGTGCTCAGCCTCCAAGACCATGGGTTGGAAGTGCACTTGGGCAACACACTGCTCTTGAGTGATGACCTGGAGCTCCTTCCGGGGTTCCTCAATAGCACCATGACCTTCTATGACCCCAAACTCTTCCGACCTGACTTCTCAGACACTGTGGGCACAACCAAGCTCATTAACGACCATGTCAAGAAGGAAACTCGAGGGAAGATCACAGATTTGGTCAGCGAGCTGACCCCGGATGTCAAGATGATAGTAGTGAATTATATCTACTTCAAAGGTGAGGTCAGGGCACTGTGCCAGCCCATTTCTGAGCATGGAGGGCACTGGCCACTGCTGCTCTGTGAGGTGTGGGGGGGCATGGTGTGAGGCAGTCAGGGACAGACTGGAGCATTCAGTTTGTCCTCATCACATCTGCTTGTGAAGGCTTCCAAAGTGCTATAGAGCTTATTCTACTTCCCAATCTCTGCTTGTAACCAGCGTGAACACAGACTCAACAGGGAGCAAAACTCTGGGAAACATTCCCACACAGTAATCCAGGCCACTTAGTCATCACCTGTGTGTCACATGTGGAATTTTTATACACCATGGAACATTTAAAAACAACTTCATAATTCAAAGTAACCAAGGAAAGACAGCAGAAGTCAGGAAGGCCGGGGGAGGGTAGAGTGGGTTAGAATCCCAGGTTGCTTGTGTTGATCTGGACTAATGCTCTGCTGTGGAGACATGGTTCCATTCTCCCTGCCTCCCACTACCACCTGCCCATCACCTCCTGTCCATCTCCTCACAGAGTGTAGATTCTGTGATCGTCACTGCAACCACTTCCTTGCAAACCCTTGTAACCTCCCCCTTGCTATCCCCTTACACGTACATGCAAAACTGCACACCTGCTTAAACCCAATGACCCACCTGATCTGCTTCTGCCCTTGCAGCTGGATGTGTCTGAGGAAACAACCCAAGTGGACAATGGTCTCGCCTGATATTTTATGAACATGGATATAACCAGTCACTGCATACCATCCACAATCCCCTCTCTCTTCTTCCCTTTCCTGATCAAAGATGCTGACCCAACAGTTAATCCCACTTCCCAGTATCATCGATCTCTTCCTCCACTGTTTCCATACCAGCAAACAAACATTCTCTGCTACCTTTTGTTTTAAAATCTAAACAAGCCTAAGGGACCACTCCCATAGTGCACACCAGTGAGATGTTGAGGAAGGGTGACATTCCCTGTTGGGGGATCAGCTTCCTGGCCACAAATGGTCTGTGCCTCCTTTTCATCTCCCTTCAGGTCTGTGGAAGAAACCCTTCCATCTCTCCAGGACTACTGCCGGTGACTTCTATGTAGATGAGAGCACAACGGTGAAGGTTCCTATGATGGTGCAGAGTTTCCAGCACCACTGGTATCTTCAAGACAGACATGTGCCCTGCTCAGTACTTCGGCTGGATTACCAAGGCGATGCAGTGGCATTTTTCATTCTTCCTGACCGAGGCAAGATGGCGCAGGTGGAGGAGGTGTTGACTCCACAGATGTTGGCAAGGTGGAATCACTTGCTCCAGAATAAGTAAGCAACATGTCATGTGAATTTATAGACCCACCTGCAAATGGACACTTCTAACACAAGCCAGTGCCCTAAATAGGGAGTGATGACATCATTATGCAAGCATTTTCCCTTGCTCTAAGACTTTCTGTGGGTTTCCTTACATAGTGAACTCTCCTATGGTACTTAGAATATGATTTCGTTCCCATCAGTGAAGAGAACCATTGAGGTGTTAGCAATCCTGGGACCTGGATGTAGCCCTTCGACAAGCCTTGAGTGGAGTGACATTGTCTCTCCGAGGGTCAAACCTGTGCAATGAATATGGAGCCCTCCAGCCAGGTGGCTGCTTGAGCAGGCATGAGGGCTCAAGAAAATTCTTTTCAGCCATCCAAGAGAGTAGCGAGGCAGCTTCCCATCACTCAGGGTTCTGAGTGAAAAAGTGTCCAATCACACATAAGAAAAGAACCCATGCTGAAGCCCCATGCTGGTGGAAAACACACAACTTGTATGATTTCCGTATACTCCATAGAAATCATCTGGCCCCAAACAGGTGCAAAGGGCCACGTGGAAGAATTTGCACCCATCTCCCGGGCAGCTGCATGCCCCGGAATGCAACCTCTGTGAAAGATGAACCCCCACGGGCAGGAACTCCCCAAACAGCAGGGTCTGAGGGCAGAAGAGCCTGATCTACAGACATTGGAGGGATGGCTGAGCCACAGGTGTTTCTGGTGACCCAACTCAGATGGAGGAGAGGCGGTCACAGTGCCTCCAGGGAGAGCTTAGTCTAGCTCAGGCCCTGGCTGCTTCATGAATCTAATGCTTTTATCCATCACCCCTCCCAGGTATTTTTACAGAAGTGTAGAGATCCACTTCCCCAGGTTCTCCATTTCGGGCTCCTATGCATTGGATCAGATTCTGCCCAAGCTGGGCTTCCAGGACCTGTTCTCTCAGCAGGCTAACTTCTCTGGCATCACCACACAGAGGAAACTGCAGGTGTCCAAAGTAAGTCATCAGGGTCATCAAACCTGCGGACTTCCATGGAGGAACTTCTGCCTCTTGGAAGCAGCTGGGTGGTGGGTGCTCTCCCTGACATAACATGGAGTCCCAGAGCCGGGTTCTGTTCAGTCACCACAAGCATCTGGGAACCAACCCACCAGGTGGAGGGCCTGGTCTCACTGCTGAGCTAGGCATCGACCCAGCCCCTGCATCAGAGGTGCCTCCCAGTCAGGCCAGCTGTGTTTGCATAGGTCATGGTCAGAGAGAGGATGAATGCAGTACAGAAGCAGCCAAAGGTTATAAACAAGACTGGGTTGGGTGTGTGTACATTTTTAAATGACAGTAAGAGACCGAGGACTTCAACTGAGCAAAGCATATATGCACTAGAGGGGACCCACTCAGGTTGGAGGGTCTGAATTCCAGTCCTGCTTCTTATGGCCTTGGGAAGTTGCCTGGTCTCTGAATTAATTATTCTCACCTGTAAAAATGGTCATAATGCTATACCGATTGAATGACTTTGGTGATCACATAAGATCACACACACACCCACACTGAGGGGTTCAGTTAATGATAGCTTTCATTTCTGAGTATCCTGATAGGCTGTCCAGCTCAGCGACCACCCAGTGCACAATATCCCCAGCAAGTGGCCTTGTAGTCATAAGGTGCAGTACTGATCACCAGCAGTTCCTAGTCCCCCACTCTCGTCTAACACCGCCCCACATTGTCTTGGAGATAACACCTGTGATTTCTCTCTCAGAGTTTCCACAAGGCCACCTTGGATGTGAATGAAGTTGGCACCGAGGCAACAGCCGTCACCAGCTCTTTTCTGACTTTTCTTTCCGCCCCACGCAGTCATCTAGTTGTTCGGTTCAACCGACCTTTCCTTTTGACAATCTTTTCTCCCAGCACCCAGAGTGTCTTGTTTTGGGGCAAGGTGGTCGACCCTACGGCACCATAGCCCTCCTGGTTCTGGCTGGGAGGGGAGGGCTGGGTGTGAACAGCTCCATGTTCGGGGCTGGGACAAAGAAAGGACCCAAATCCAGGACAGAAGCCACTGGCAAGGGGAGGGGATTGGGTAGGATGAGACGGGCTGGAAAGCGAGAGAAACCCTCCAAGGTGGTTGTGCTGATTAAAGCCAATGATGCTTCTGAGACCCTGTTGTGGTACCTCATACATATTGGACACTCACAAACACATTCTCTGCCTATCCCTCCAGGGCTCACCTGTCCTCCTCTGAAAAACCTGGGGACAGGGGGTGTGAGATGATGCTCTAAGTCCCAGTGGGCTGTCTAGGTGTGTGGAGAGGGGAAGCCAGCTGCCTTAGGCAGGGTACATGCCTTATTTTAGGGGGATGGGGTAGGGAAGCCTTAGCAGGGCCTGGACATTGATCTGGTGAGGGGCTCCTCACTTGTGGCCAGGAGATGTCCCCGTGTCTCTCGGGCATAAATGGCTGCAGTCAAGGGGTATGCTATAGGAGCAGAAGACAACCTGGTCCTACTGCTGTGGGGACTCCTGCAAATATCTTACCTTCTTGGCCTCAGTTTCCTTACCTGGATGCTATGGACCATCCCAGCTGGTCCAGCTCTAGTTATTTCTTCAAGGAGCATCCCCCCAGAGTCTACCCCCTGTAGAAGCAGGCAGACAGGTAGAACTGGCTTTGTTTGCAGCAAACCTCACTGATCTCTGCCTAGTGCCTTCTCTCTGCCCAAAGGGTTTATTTTTGGCATTAGTATCAGCTCAGGCTCCAGTTTAGCCTCTTTAACCATGGACATGGAGTTCCCAGGAGAGTTATTGCTGGAACAGTACAACCAAGAGGGACCTCTCTCCATTATTTTTCTAGACCTAGGACATCCTCTGCTTTGAGGTCTAGGGCAAGAACTCTGATGATGCTTTGCCATCGGCAGCTCCCTCGCTGGCCTATACTGTTCCCACTTATTGCACAAGAAACATCATAATTCATGGGGTCAAATCCTAGCTTGCTGCTTAGAAGCTGTGTGATCTTGGGGAAATCATGTAACCTTTCTGGGCATCAGTGTCCCCCCGTAGGAAATGGGGACAAAGGTAGCTTCCCTTACCTCCCGGAATCCTGGTGAAGATTAAGCACACGTGAAACACAGTACAATGCTCACATGAACCCTGTTAGTCGCTGTAATTCCTGTGGCTCCAGTCAGTGCAACCACCACTACCACCTCTGAATTGGGGTCTGTCCCCCCAAAATCAGCTGCCCCTAGAGACCCTGGGCTCTTCTCACGTGGGCACTTTTTCCACTCAGGAAATTGGCACAGCATACCAGAGTGTGCGTGGTGGGGGGGTGGCTGCCAATACTGGAGATGTGTTATGGGCCCTTCTTCTCCCACTGCTTGTCCCCTCAAGCTCCCAGCTGAATTTGAAGAAGATTCTAGATCAGCACTAGCTCTTCAGCATCCTCTACCTTTTCTCTTAGTAGGGCCAGCTGAGGCCAAATGTCTCCTCGCAGTCTGTTCCAGATGGCAAGGTAGGGCTGTTACTTTGGAATTGGCTAAAAGAATCCTCCAGGTTTCAGAATTGGAGGTCACAAATCATCTCTATTCTAGGGGCTGCTTAATATTCAAGAGGCCCATGGCCAGTTCTGAAAACTCAAGCCATAGGCTCAAAGTCAAGACCCAGTGGCACAGGTCTCTGTTTCTGGCACGCAGGATGACCGACATCACAAAAAATGTTCACGGGTGATCCAGGACAGCAGGCTAGAGAGTCCTCTCCCATGATATAGCCAAAATATTTTAGAAACTATGGGACATGGTCCCTGTCTCATTCAATACCACAGTCCCAGGAAACAAGACAGGCAGCAACAGTCAGCCTCTGCTCAAATGCAAAAGAATGGCCAAGGTGGAGGAGAGGACCCTGGAGGCTTCTGTCCCCTCCTGCCTCTAAAACACAGTTCTCAACTGGACACAGAATGGCCTCAGGAGAACACGGACAAAGGAAAGTTCCAGAAGGACAAAATTCCTGAGTGGTTCTATGCTGGGGCTCATCATACCTGCTCTAGGCTTTGCTCACCAGGACCTGAGGGCCTTCCAAAGTCAGAAAATGGCACACCTTCTTTTTCCACCTCTTGGTTTTATTGACTAAAAAGCAAATCTGAGAGCTCAAGGATTAATCCATTTCTCCCATATCTGCTGGGAAGTTGGATTCTGGTTTTCAATAGTCAAGCAAGAAATAAAGTCAGGCCCAGGCTGACTCATGCCCGCCTCTGCTACTTCAAAGGGAGGTGGGTGGATGGAAAACAAGCCTGAAGAAGGCCAAGGTCTAGAGTTACCATGGCAACAGCTCTGCCCAGGGTCATGTGTGAATGTGTGAGGCTTGGTGCTTGAATGGGGGAAGGGGGTAGCAAGTCACCCTCAGGTCAGCATTGAGAGTGATGACTCTTTGCTCTGGTGAAGCTCATTCCTCTCCCAAGCAAAAAAAGTCAATGGCTCCCTGTTGCCTACAAGTCAAATTTCAAAGGCCTCTAATCTGTGGCCAAAGCCCTCCCTGATCCTGTCCCTGGCTGACTCACCTGCCTCAGGCCCTCCTCTTGCTCTATTGTATCCTGTGATTTCAGTCACAGAAGATCCTGCTATTTCCCCCAGGCTGTCCACATGTCCCACTTCCAAGTCTCTCTCCTGCAGGCCCCTGATCTACACTCTACAAGACCTCACACAAATGCTTCAACTCTTCATGGAGTCAGACTGTCATCCTGCCCTTACACACAGCTGGGCTGACAATCATTTCTGTCCCCCACCCCATCCCATCTCCTGTTAGATGAGACAGCTCAGCAATAGCACTACTGACTCTGCTTTCCTCTAGCTCCTTGACCCCAGAGCCAACCATGTATGGCAGAGGCCCTGCCAGTACTTGTTAAATGAGTAAATGAATGAATGAGTGAATAATGAGCAAGTGAACGGAAAAGACTGAGCTTTGTGCAAGGTCACTGAGCTATTTGTTCTGCATCACAACTCCTAACAGTCCTTGGCCTGGAATTGATTGGGCAAATATTTAGTTTAGCTCCTCAGATTGCAAAATGTCCTTCCGGAGCATTAAAAATAAAGTAAAATGAAGACACCACACAGGAGATGCTGCCGCTCCAGAGCAGTGCCTCTTGCCTTTGTTGCTGCCTGTGGGGTCTCTGATTTGCAAAGACCTCATTCTGTCACTCAGGAGGCAGATTCCTTCCAGTCCAAGGTCAGTAGGCAGAGGAGCCGGCTATCTGTGGGTCTCCTGGTCATCTCCAAACAGGAAAACAGAGACCTCTGCCCTTTGCAAGAGAGGGCAGACAGAGGCAGTGTGAGTGGCAATGAGGTGTCTGGTTCCACGAGGCCCTGGATTCCAGGGAGGGTTGACCGTGTATGAGAGTCCAGAGAGTTTGTGCAGAGTTGTGCAGGGTAGGCTCATTGGGCTATTCACTTCCTCATTCAGCTGGTCATGTCTGAGCTGAGAAGACAAATTGTTTACATGTTGTAAACACTCAAATGTTGTGGCCACCAAAATCTGGGATTTGGGTTGAGGGAGAGTGAGGTTCTCTCAACTACAACTCATTGTGCAGTTAATTCCAACAGGGCGTCCTTCAAGTCAGTTCCATTTGATTCTGACACTGTCTACCTGGTGTCAGATTGGATCCTGCCGGTTGAAGGTTCAGTCCTACAAGACTGCTCCCTTTGGATGCAAGTCCCAAGTAGTAGGTTATCAACCATCTTAGCAGCTGGCTGTACACTGGGTGCCCACAGGCCCTTCCCAAGGTTGAATTACCCAGGCTGAATTGGTTAGCTGGGAGGACTCACAGAACTTACAGACACTTACTGATATTACCAGGTTTATGATGTGAATCCAGGGCAGGATGGAATCAGATGGAAGAGATGCATAAGGCAAGGTCGGTGGGAAGAGGGTCAGAGCCTCCCCACCCTCCCTGGTGCTCATTTCTCCAAGCTCCTCCATATGTTCAGCTATCGGGAAGATCCCCAAACCTCATCTTTTTGAGTTTTATGGAGACTCCATTACATAGGCATAATTAATTACATCATTGGCCATTGGTGATCAACCCAACCCTTTGCTCTTGTCCCGTCCCCGGAAGTCATGGGGTGGAGGTGAAACTTCCAGCCCTCCAATCACAGGGTTGTTTCCTCTGATACCCAAATGCCATCCTGAGACTGTCCAGGAGCCCATCAAGAGTGTCTTCAGAGCAAAGAGTTCCCGTCACTCAGGAAACCTCAGGGGATTTAGATCTGTGTCAGACACTCCCATCACTATGAAAATCACTTGGAAACCATAATCTTAAGGAGCCCTTTTTCAGGATCCAGGATCAAAAACCAAATATTGGAGAAAAGATTCACCCTCACTCCTATCTACAAGGTATGAAGACCTGTGACTCAGGAGCTGAGGGCAGAGTCCAAATATATGTCTGATTATATCACAAAACCACAGGTAGGCCATTTAGCCAGGCACACCTCTCTGGTGTGGAGGGAGGTGCCTGAAATTTGTAGGCAGAAAGGCTACAGCCCCAGCTTCTCCATGAATGACATGCTGCAGGCTATCCCTTTTCTTTGTGGATCTGAGTTTCCTCCCCTGTGAGTAAAGGTGGTATCTGGGCCACAGAGCCCTGAAGCAGGCCTAGCCCTGGAAATGGTAGAGTGGACATGGGCTCTAGAATCCTGGGCGCCCTGCCTTTTGACTCTGTGGGGTGGAAGAAAGGCAAGAAGGAGGCTGCTGTATTGTTGGCCACCTGGAAAGAGAAGTGAGGTTCTGCAGTGTTGACAGTCCCCAGGCTCTAAGTGCCTGTCAGGAGCCAGGCTAACAGGTGCTTTCTGGGAGTCAGTAGAGGCTGTGGAGCAGCAAGTACAGAACCTGCACTTTGGCCCAGCACACCTGGCTTGCAGTATGAATTCCCCCAGCTGGCAATGGGCTTGCTGGCCACAGCAGCTGATTCCCAGCTCTCTTGTTTCACGT